TGACAGTTTCCATTTAAAACCAAACGGCCACCACTAGTCTCTCAGTTTGTCATACTGTGGTGGCTTTTGAGTTGCTGTGATTCTGAAATCTATGCCACGGGTATTTTAAATACCAGCAGGGTCACCCATGGTGGACAGGTTTCAGATGAGCGTCCAAAGACAGACTAGGAAGAAAGAGTGACGAACTGCTTCAGAATATTTAATCAGTGAAAACCTTATGAATAGCAGAGAATCATTGTCAGATACAGTGCCGGAAAATGAGCCCTTCAGGATGGAAGGCCCTCAAAATGTGACTGGGGAAGAGCTGCTTCCTCACAGTAGAGTTGATTGTGATAATATGAATGGAGTAGAGCTTATGGGAGTAAAGCCCATGGGACCTTGATTTGCTGATGGGGCACGACTCAAAATGAAGAGAAACAGCAGTAAGCATCCATTATTAACCGGAACATGGAATTTACGAAGTATGAATCTGGGAAAATTGGAAGTTGTTAAAAATGAAATGGAACGCATGGACATTGATATCTTAGGCATTAGTGAGCTGAAATGGACTGGAATAGGCCATTTTGAATCTGATAACCACATGGTTTACTATTCCGGGAATGACAAATTGAAGAGGAATGGTGTTGCATTCATCGTCAAAAAGAACATATCCAGATCAGTCATGAAGTACAACACTGTCTGTGATAGGATAATATCCATGTGCCTACAGGGAAGCCCAGTTAATACCATTATTCAAATTTATGCACCAACCACTAAAGTCAGTGAGGATGAAATAGAATTCTACTAACTTCTTCAATCTGAAATTGCTCAAACATGCAATCAAGATGTATTAGTCATTACTGGTGATTGGAATGCAAAGGTTGGGATCAAAGAAGAAGGATCACTGATTGGAAAATATGGCCTTGGTGATAGAAATGATGCTGGAGAACACATGATAGAATTCTGCAAAACCAATGATTTGTTCATTCCAAATACCTTCTTTAGACAGCATAATACGATTATACACATGGACTTCACCAGAGGTGACATAGAAATCAAATTGACTACATCTGTGGAAAGAGACGATGGAAAAGCTCCATATCATCAGTGAAAATAAGGCCAGGGGAAGACTGTGGAACAGACCATCAATTACTCATATGCAAATTCAAACAGAAGCTGAAGAAAATGAAACCAAGTCCAGGAGAGCCAAAATATGACCTTGAATATATCCCACCTGAATTTAGAGATCATCTGAAGAACAGATTTGATACATTAAACACTAAAGACCGAAGACCAGAAGAGTTGTGGGATGACATAAAGAACATCATACATTAAGAAAGTAAAAAGTCATTGAGAAGACAAGAAAGAAGGAAAAGGTTAAAATGGATGTCAGAAAAGACATTGAAACTTCCTCTCCAGCATTGAGAAGCTAAAGCAAATGGAAGAAATGAGGAAGTCCAAGAGCTGAACAGAAAATTTCAAAGATCAGCTCAGGAAGATAAAGCCAAATATTATAACATTGTGCAAAGATCTGGAATCAGAAAACCAAAAAGGAAGAACATGCTCAGCATTTTTCAAGCTGGGGGAACGGAAGAAACAATTCAAGCCTTGGCTTTCGTTATTGAAAGATTCTCTGGGCAAATTATTGAATGATGCAGAAAGCATCAAGAGAAGATGGAAGGAATATACAGAGTCACTGTATCAAAAGGAAATGGTTAATATTCAGCCATTTCAAGAGGTAGCCTATGATCAAGAGCCAATGATACTGAAGGAAGAAATCCAAGGTGCATTGAAGGAATTGGCAAAGAACAAGGCACCAGGAATTGATGGAATAAAAATTGAAATCTTTCAAGAAAGTGAGGCAGCACAGGAGGCACTCACTCATCTCTACCAATAAATTTGGAAGACAACTATATGGCCGACTGATTGCAAGGGATCCATGTTTGTGCCCATTCCAAACAGAGGTGACCCAATGGAATGCGGAAATCATCGGACAATCTCTTTGATATCCTGTGCGAGTAAAGTTTTCCTAAACGTAATACAGAAACGGCTATAATCATACATTGACAGAGGACTTCCAGAGGTTCAAGCCGGATTCAGAAGAGGCCGTGTGATGAGAGATATCATTGCTGATGTCCGATGGATCTTGGCTGAAAGCAGAGAAAATCAGAGAGATGTTTACCTATGCTTTATTGACTTCGCAGAGGCTTTTGATTGTGTGGATCATGACAAGCTATAGACAACATTGCGAAGTGTGAGTAGTCTAAAACACTTAATTGTGCTCATGAGGAATCTGTACCTGGACCAAGAGGCAGTTGTTCAAACAGAACATGGGAACACTGAATGGTTTCAAATTAAGAAAGGTGTATGACAAGGTTGTATTCTTTCACCATACTTATTCAACCTGTATGCTGAACAAATAATCTGAGAAGCTGGGTTCCATGAAGAAAACCGTGGCATCAGGATTGGAGGAAGACTCATTAACAACCTGCGATATACAGATGATACAACTTTGCTTGCTGACCATGAAGAGGACTTAGAACATTTACTGATGAAGATCAATGAGCACAATCTTTGGTATGGATTACATCTCAATGTAAAGAAAATAAAAATCCTCACCACTGGACCAATAAACAATATTCTTATCAATGGAGAAAAGATTCAAGTTGTCAAGGACTACATTCTTTGATCAACCATCAACACTCATGGAAGCAGAAGACAAGAAATCAAAGGATGTATTGCATTAGGCAAATCTGCTGCACAATGGTGAACACGTTCATCACCGATAATGGGAAGTGAGGGAAAAACAGCAGGAAGTTGCGAGCTAAGCCCTACAATGTTCAGTAGACTCCTGTGAACCCGGGTGGAGACCTGGTTGGCCAGCAGTGTGGCAAGACCTGGGCACTTTTGGGCCCAGAGTCAGTGACATAGCCACAGAGGAGTAGAGTAGAGAGTGAAGCATCCAGCTGATAAGAAGAGAGGGCATATGAACAAGAACACCCATACTTGCAGATAATACCCACTTGACCTGGCTTCAATGACTGGATGATCAGAGCTCAACTAGAAGAAAGAAGGAAAAAAAGTAATCTGATACAATTTCATGAACTTGACCTACACCTATGGATGCAGTAGCGCAAAAGAGGGAACAAATCTTTACAGCGAGGATCATTTCCACCCCCTCCATACACAGAGTAGAGGGACGGGCAACTTGGACATTGGCTACCCAAAATGGGGTGGCTACAAAGGCAAGAAGTGACTGGCTTACAAGCTTTCAAGAGGGAACCTAAGTCCAGAGGGTATTGTTGTTAAGTGCCGTTGAGTCGGTTCCGACCCATAGCAACCCTGAACAGGGTTTCTGAGGCTGTAAATCTTTACGGGAGCAGAAAGCCTCATCTTTCTCCCACAGAGCAGCTGGTAGTTTCGAACTGCTGACCTTAAGGTTCGCAGCCCGATTCGTAACCACTATGCTACCAGAGATCCTTATACACAAAGTAGACAGGGATGGGCAACTTGGACATTGGCTACCCAAAATGGGGGGGGGGGGGGCTACAAAGGCAAGAAGTGACTGGCTTACAAGCTTTCAAGAGGGAACCTAGAGCTAGAGGGCATGGAGGAAGGTAAAATCTCCACTGAATAGTATCCAATCTGTCTAGGTGGGGCTGATGAAAGGAAATGCAGATAGGTCTCTTGTGATGCAATAGTGAATAATTGTTATCAGGACTGATTGTGAAGGTTATAAATGTAAAGGTAGATGTTTTTTATCAAGGAGGGGAGTGATTAACTTTTCAGTCTAGGAGTGGAGGTTCCTGGGACCATGAAGGGGGAAGAGCAGAGAGCAGGACCCTACCCAGAGAAGCAGTGATGCCTGAGATGGAGGCAGAGATGAAGACGTGGAGAGATGGAGCAGCTGGAGACTTTAGATCCAGAGAGGGAGAGGGGCTGTGTGCTAACGACCAGGGGTGGGGTTGGGAGGGGCAAGCTTGTTGGATATACCCTTTGGTTGGTTAATGATGCATGGAGGGGATTGTAACCATGGCAATGAAATGATATAATGATAGGATGAATGTAAAACTAATATTCTCCCATGGAAACTATCACATAATTCACAACAAAACATTTTTTAAAAAATCTGCTGCACAAGACCTTTTTAATGTGTTGAAGAGCAAAGATGTCAGCTTGTGGGCTAAGGTGCGCCTAACCCAAGCCATGGTATTTTCAATAACTTTATATGCATGCGAAAGTTGGTAGAAGAATTGATGCTTTTGAGTTATGGTGTTGGAGGAGAATATTGAAAGTGCCATGGGCTGCCAAAAGAACCAATAGATCCGTTTTGGAAAAAGTGCAGCCAGAATGCTCCTTGGAGACCAAGATGGCCAAACTTTGTTTCTCATATTTTGGACATATTATCCGGGGGACCAGTCCCTGGAGAAAGATACCATGTTCGGTAAGGTGGCGGGTCAGAGAAAAAGAGGAAGATCCCCAATGAGATGGATTAGCCAAGTGGCAGCATCAATGGACTCAAGCGTGGTAACAGTAATGAGGGTGGCCCAGGATCGGGCAGTGTTTCGTTCTGTTGTGCAAAAGATTGCTATGGGTCGGTACCGACTTGATGGCACCTAACAACAACAACTACCAGATCTAGACCTCATTCCTTTTGCTAGAGATAACCAAGCAGTACCAAAAATAAAATAAATTAAAAAATGAAGGTAGAGCATCTTGCCTCTAAATGTATGAAAGATACTTCTGTCTCATGTGTTATCAAGCCTATACATGTGTCTATTGGATACAATGAAAAATGTACATTGAGTATCCAAAGCAGCAGAGAATATTCCAGTCTATCTATGGCAAGGTTATAGAAGATTTTGTTTTATTGAGGCTTAAGAATGATGGTTTTTCATATTGTCATCCTTTAAACTCTATGTGTCTTAATGACTCTTTCACAGACACATCTATAGAGTTAAGGTTTGAATATATTAATTTAAGAAGTGATTTTTAACTTATGTTTTGGACTTTGCCACCAGAGTTTCTTCAAGACAACTTCCCGAATTTTGATCTCGCGGAAAGCGGATATGACTGGAAGCTTTGTGTCACAGCTCTTAACAGCACTGTCCGTAGTGTTAGATATGACCTCAAGAAGTCCACAGTGAAGTCACCGCCACTTCCAGCAACAGTCCCTTCCACAAAGCCAGAGCCATCAGACACTGACTCAGAAAACTGAAGTACTTGAATATCATAGAGTAGAAAGTATAGTGCCATACCTTTTGTTTTTGTAAGTTTTTCAATTGGAATTTCAAAATAAGTCTGTTATAGTGATCGGGTAGTTCTGCATTCACACCCAAGGGAATAGCCAAAGCTCTTTCTGCCCACACAAGATACAGGATTGCAGTAGGAAGATAAATATATGTTTCCTTTCAGGACCAGAGTGATGGGCAGTACTCTGATTAGAACATCTGATTGTGGGAGTGTAGTAAACTGCTAAAGGTCATTTTCATTGTTTTTCATATGTTGAGGGGTACATACCATTCTTTGTGACAGAGGAAGTCACAGATTACTTATGAAACAAATACAGGCAATCATATGGAGAGCCATAGTGGCAGAGGGGAACCACAATGTCTGGTGAAGTAACTTGCCCATTACATACACAGAATAAACGCAAAATATGTGGGTCAAGTGAATCAACTCTGCTGCTTCCTACTGGAGGTGTGGTTTACTTGTAATCAAAGCCTCCATGTTGGGTTCTTCCACCTCCACCAGTAAAGATTTGACATTGCATTGTTTGAGTTGTTTTCCAGAGAACTGTTCTTTTAATTCACTCCTAATCAGAATAGCAGCCTTTTGGAAAACTGATAACATTTTATCACAGAAATATGCTAATGGTCAACAGAAAATCCTATCAGGAGACTTTTTGGTTCTATTGAAGTAAGTTAAATAGATAACATTCGTACACTATGAGTAACAGAAATCTGACTAAATTTACACAGTAAAATTGTCTTAGGTTTCTGAAACATCTGGGTGAAGGTTTTAACATTTTACTGTTTTTCTGATAGAGTCTAACTAGTTGAAATGCATACAAATAAATCTTAAAAAGTTAAAATGAAAAAAAGTTGGTAAGAAATTCATTTAGGAAAAAAGTGTTCTTAAACAGCAGTAAGGTTTAGAAGAGAATTTTTTAAAAAGTAATTACATTTGGCTCATGAATAGTATTTTATATTTTAAATCAAGAGGGTTTTTTTATGCTTGAATGTTTCAGTCTAAAAAGATTCTGTTTAAGCTCATTGTTTGAACATTTTGTTTAAGAAACCTTTTGTCAGTTACAGTGTCATCTTTCAATCTATTGAAAAGTCATTATAGCATTCTTAAGTGTTGTTCAAAACTCCTGTTTGTAAGAGTTCAGACTTCAGTTATGACCATTTGCTTGTGTTCTATATCTTAAATACGTGATGTTAATTTGTTTTTTGATATGTTAGAGAAAGAAATTCAATCAAAAGTAACAAGTATGTTAGTCAAACAATATAATTTTTGTGAAAATTGGTACGTTGTGTTATTTTTATGACTTGTGAGATGTTTAAGATGTTTCTATATGACCAACTTATAGAATATTTTATATGATAAATCATTTGAAAATTCAACTTTTAGGCTATTAGTAAAATATAGTCTTATTTTATAAAGATAAGATATAATAAATTTAAAAAAATTATTAGCTGAACATAAAAAAAGGAAAAACAAAAACAAAAAAACAACAAAAAAACCCCAAAAACTATTAGCTGTCTTTAGCTTAATAAACTCTAGTATTTCTATAGACATCTTTTTATATTTAGGCTAGGCCTACATCAGTCTTAAAATGTAGATACATTCAATCCTTAAAACTTTCTACTGGGAGAAAAATAGTTTTGATCTGAGTTATTTAGATGAAATGATCTAAGATAGTCTTTCACCATCCAGTTTCACAAATAGTTTTATAAATTGCTACTAGTAGTTGTTGTTAAGTGCTCTTAAGTCGATTTCAACTAGTAGTTGAGCCTAGTGCCTAAAGTAAAATTACACCATAGGCAAGAATAAGTTATATATTTAGGCTTCAAATTTTATTTGTAAGTTTTTGGTATCTGAAACATCCTCTGGATTAAAAGTTAAACCACAAAAAAGTGAATACTTTATATTTACAAAAAATTTCAAGACACATGACTGCTATGAGTTGGAGTCAGTTTGACAGTGATGGGTTTAATTTTTTTTTGTTTATCCAATAGAATTTTCCACAGTGATGGAAATGTTTTCTAATTTACTTTGTCCCATAAGGTACATGTGGCTGTTGAGTACTTGAATATGATTTTAGGACATGTATTTTAAATTTTATCTCATTTTAACACACTTAATTTTAAATAACCACATGTGGCCAGAGGCTACACATTATAAAATAACCTTTATCTTTTAAAAGTGCCTAAAATTCCCATCTATAAAATCACATTTGATTGAAAAAAATAATTTTACTAAGGGGTTTCACACTTTACTATAAACTAGACCTTTTTTGCCATAAAATTTTTATTAGTTCTGTTATTGGTTCAGTGTTGAGCATTAAAATGACTTTCATAGCTTATATATTAAGTTTATTCATTTGGGTTTTCATGTCTTGTTGTAGAGGCTCTATGAAGTGTGTCTTCCATCTCGCTGGAAATCCCATAATCAATTTTATTGAACTTTTACCAATGTTGTCTACAATGCTTTATATTAATAACATTTTTTTCAGCCAGTTTCAAGTTTATTCTTGATATAAAAATGCATTTCTAGTATTTTGCCTTGTTTTTACAAATAAATACTCAATAAACATTTAAAATTTAATACAGATGTTTAAATTGTTTTTTTAATAGACCAGTTTTTTTTTAAATGTATTATTGTGAACTAGGTTAAGATTTACAGATCAGATAATGTTTCACATGTAATAATTCATACACATTTTACTTCATCTCATTGGTTACAATCCTCTCAATGTAACATCATTTATCTGTCTTTCTCCCTTTGTTTCCTGTTTCCACTCCTCCTTTCCTAACCCTTTTTAACTTTGTCCTTGGGTACGTCTTCCCCTTTGATCTCAAATGGTTGATTATTCTAAGGTATGTGTATCTCACTGGTGTTATGACATGTCTGGCTTCCTGGTGTGGTGCTGTAGGATAAACACTGGAGGTCAGCATTTTCCAACTCACCAGCTCCTCAGAAACCTTAAACAGGGTCGCTATGAGTTGGAACCAACTCTATGGCACTTAACAACAACAACAATAGACATCTCTATTGTTTGGCTGAAAATTGAGCCATTTCCAGACCTGCAGGGTGACTAAGGGCCATAATCTCAGGTGTTCCCATCAACCTCTGTTCCACCAGTAAGCCTGGTCTCTTTCATGAGTTTGAGATTTGTTCCATATTTTCTCCCACTCTATCCAGACCTTCTATTGCAATCCCTTCCAGAGTAGTTGGTAGTGGTATCCAAGAGTCTTGGTAGTGGTATCCAAGAGTCGTGTAGTTCTTCTTTCTGGTCTTGGTCACGGGACTGACATTCTCATAGTTCATAAGTTCATTGGACTGATGGTTTCCAATATGTCTTTGATTTTCATTATTTTTCTTCTGGACAGGAAAAGACCAATAGTTACTTCTAAGATTCCCATCACTACTCCCCAAACTAGGATATAGAACACTGTCCTTGTAGACTATGTTATACCAGTTGACCTTGGTGTCCCCCGAGACCATGATCCTTAGCCTCCAGGCTCAGCAACTCATTCCCTCAGGCATTTGGTTATGTTTAAGAAGTTTGATTATGATATGTCTTGGTGATTTTCTCTTGGAATCCATCTTGTTTGAGTTTCATTCATCTTCTTTAAAGCTTATCTTCTTTCTTTATGATGTTAAGGAAATTTTCTTCAAACAATTTTTTGACTATTTTCTCTGCTTTATTTTGGGGGGGTAGGTTTCTTCCTGCTGTGGAATTCCAATCACACATGAGTTACGTTCTTGATGGTGTGCCTCATAATTCTTAGGCTTCCTTCAGATTGTTTTCTGTTCTCTTTTCTAATTGTTTCTCTAGCAGATTAGTATTGAGAATATTTCTCTTCAAGATCACTGATTTGGCCTTCCATTGATTCATTTCTGCTTTCAGTTTATTTCTGAAATATTTATCTTATGAATTTCTGTTTGCTGTTTTTATATGGTTTCTAATTTTTTCTTTATTTTCTCAGTTTGCTCTTATGTTTTCCTAAATTCTAAAATTTTGTCTGTGTTTTCCTTGATTTCATCTGCAGTTTCCTCAGTCTTTCTCTCAATCCATTGTTGTGTTGTGAAGTGCCATTGAGTCAGTTGCAACCATGTATAGGGTTTCCAAGGAGCAGCTGGTGAGCTTGAACCTCCAACCTTGCAGTTCAAATGGCTTTGCAGTCTGGCACATTAACTCAATCCATTGGAAGTACCTAAATCCTATTCTTTTGAATTGCTTATCATGTAGTTCCAATGCTATTTATTCTTCAGAAAGGTGTTATGGCTCTGTATTTTGGTCACTTCCTTTAACCACTTTGTTTTGTTTTTTTTGTGTGAACTGAAATGATCTGTTTTCTCAGAGGTAATGTGGTATGTTTATATTTCATTTACGAATATACGGTGGTGTGTCCTTAGGCATTCACCACCTTCCTCCCCTGATGGGTGTAAGATAGGATGTGAGTGTGTATGCAGTTCTCTGTTTACTGTTTGTGTAGCATAGTTGAGGGTAGGCTTGGCTGGTTTTGGGTGCTATCAATGATCAGGTGGTCAAGAGCAGCTAGTGGCCCTTGCCCAGTACATGTGACTGGATGTGGTGAGGTCATGTGGGCACTTTTGCTGTTTCCTGTTGGGTGGGATGAGGAAAAACAAACAACAGCAAAAAAGAAAATAAAGGGTGGGAAAAGTCAGGGGGAAAAGCAGATAAGAAAAAAGAATGTAATAACTTCAAAAAAAGGCAAATAAAAGCAAGGGAAGAGAAAAAACACAATAAGAAAAAAGAGAATGATAAAGAAAAGAAAGGAAGGGGGAAAACAATAAGACCAGAAAAGAGGTAAAAAGAAAATAACAACAAATTAGGATAACAAACAAGGGAAGGGCAAGAAAAGAAAAGAAAAGAAAGATAACCTAAGGGACACAACCCAGAGAAATCTGGAGAGAGATGGGGCATGGCATCTGGTATGCATCAGCACCCTCTGCCTATCAAGG